CAAGCAGTAATGTAAACCTTACTGCGTTCCCGTTTTGAAGGGTAAGGGTGCTGGTGAAATTACAAGCACGTGGGACTTTACAATTTTTGTGTCCAGAGACGGGCGGAGTAGCAGTGCTCTACGGTCTTTGCGATTTGAGAGTCTGAACAACACTACAACCACAGACATCTATATCTAAATAGACGGCGCAAGTGTACCTACTCCGCGTGCCCAATGTAAGGTATAAACACTTAATTGCCGCTGCTACGCTTCAGAACGCGCTCGGCCGTTAGCGTTGTTATACTTCAGTCGAAAAAGCGAAAAATGCCTGATTGTGCCATTAGAAACTGTAAAAACACCGTAGCTATAAGTATATGAATAAACAGGGACGTTTAATGCCATAGTTAACTCATTTTGTAATCAGAATATGCATAACTTATTTTAAAATCAATTATTTTCATTTTGAATTAATTTCGAGAAAACAAATATGCAATCGAATGTATGCCGCATTCATCTGGTCTTTCTTTAGTATGAATATCGAACGAGCGATACTTTCGTGTAATGCATTCTGTTTCGTGGTAACGCCGTTTCGTCAGATTTTTGGTCAAATTTAACGATTAGTGATGTTAACTTGATGCAAGTGCAACACCATTCTCAATTCTGATCGACTTAGGAAACAAAAGGATGATAATTTTTAAGACCTTAGAAAATGTTATAAAAACATTCTAGATACTTAAAGTTTGTTGTTTTTTTTTTAGTTTTTCGGAGCATCTTTTTTCAAACACGTAGGTATTAATAAACGGACTAAATTATCTTATACTGGTATTATTTTACTATATTAATATTACACGGCTTCTTATAATCGACAAATACTTTAAAAATATTATTCTAAATACGTGCTACGTCCGCGTCTTCGATTAAATTTTTTTTTAATGAATCGCTTTAGTGCCGAAGGAGGTTTTCCATCACTAAATAGCGATTGTGACATCACCGGAGGTACAAAAAATGTGGCACGCTTGGTAGTCGCGGTCTATTTTTATAGGTATAATATATCTGTGATTATATTAAGGACAGGCGTGTCGCTTACCACCAGGCGCATGACTTGTTCATCCCATCACATGTATCATTAAAAAAAGACCGGTTCCCAGCATGACATACAACGAGGTTACTGATGTTTGATGAGTTATGACAGCACAATTTATTTTCTTCTTATATCTTATTTAATGGAGTTTTTATTATTATCAATATTATTTCATGATTATTTGCAATAATAGTCTATCGCAAGGTACCTATACGTGAAAAGATTTTCTGATTTTAATAAGTTACAATATTGACAGTTTCGATTTGCGGGATTTTTACGTATTATAATTGGTATCATGAATATAGTCCAATTTTAAAAGGATGCTAACAATTTCGATTTCACCCTCTATATTGGATACACGAATTACCGGCGGCTAAAATTATTTGTGTTATTCACACATTTAAGTAGACTTTTTTAAATATTATATATATTACATATATAGAAATGAAAGTTACATTTACCGACTTGATCATTTAGGTATTGCATTTATATCTACTATCACGGGAATCGATACTACAAGAAACAAATCCTTAACTACTTATTTTAATTTTACTAAAATCAATGGAAGGCGTTTAAGTGAATTTAATAGCTTATTTCTACTAACAACAAAATTAAGATTACTATTTATACCCCCTAAATACTAATAACCCCTTTTTATGTAGTTAAAATAATTACTTAAAAATTACTTTTTTAAGTATTTAAATTATTCTACATATATTGTTTTATATTATAATGTGTGCGTATGATAAATCAATAAACATTTTATCTGATAAATTAGATGACTTATTAGAATAAAAAAACAACTAAAATGGCAATTCGTTAATAGTTCATATTTTAATTTCAATTCATCTCAAATTAAACAGATTATACTTTTTTAATAGCTATTTAAAAATGTGCAATAATATTCTACTAATATGATAATTTAAAGTTATGAAAATGAAACCCGGACCCACCATTTTGACAGGTACCCTCAAGGCTTTTCGTCTCATTTTGATGTCTCACCTGAAACATTTTCCCAGTGTTTTGTAATCTTCGCAAGGCTTTTATGAACAGGTATAATCACATCTATTGATAAATTACTACGTGAACAATTCGCTCAAGCTGCCGCCCGCCGTCGCATCGTGGTCTATCATAAAACCTATATGTATTATTAACACTACTTACAGATATCTTAATAGCTAATTGAGCCTTATTATAATTATATATCTCTATGAAGTACAGTAATATTTATTCGGTTACGTACTAATGAGTAACTAAAATAACTTCGTTACTATTTGTCAGATGATTAAGTTTTGTGTTTCTTTGTCAATAATACATTTGCAAATATTCATTATTCGTGTATAATATAAAGTATAAATTATCACTACTAAACGGTACAAAGATACACAAAACTTTTCCTTCGACAACAAAAAAGTTTAGTAATTCACCTATCCATTCAATGATTATTAAAATAACCAATCAGTATAAATAAAAAACTTTTTACACTCGCAAGAAGCACGAAACTACGAATTATTATGAAAATCTTTCAAATGCATTGTAACAATTCTGAAGCAGTTACCTGAAGTTTGTTAGCGCCGTAAGTATTCAATAAAACTACTAATTGAATAAAAACAACATAACTAAGTCCTCTCTTTTTAATCATGCTTATAAGCAAATAAAGTTAATGTTTAAAAGTACTCTTAAAAGTTTTATATCGAGCTATTAATAAAGACGCCGCCTATTATATTTCGCTTCATTAGTGTTAATTAAGCAATTTCGAATGGATTATAAGCTTCCACTTACCTCGCCGACCAGTCCGGTAGGTATCGACGCGACTTCCAATTCAAATAAACTTCACAGGACCACTGAAGTTAAATAAAAGTTTTAAAGTCACTTTAGAATAAGCTTGTTAAACACAGTAAATTTGAGAGTCCAATAAAAAGCAATTCGTGTCAATAAGGTATCAACTTTAATGTGGCGCGAACAATGTCAATTCGGAGAAACGTGTTATCGCGAGTGCCGAATCGAACATGCGTGTTCCAGCCAGGCAATGTCGACAGTAGACTGGCAACAACGCGCAGAGCCTAACAGCGAGTGGGTGGATGCCAAAAGCCGCCAGAGCGCGTTCGGAGCGGGGCGGAGATAGGTGGCGAGCTGTTAACTCGCCGATCCTCGCAGTAAGACTAACTCACATCCAAATCGCTTTAATTTTATGAGTTGTTGCCTTCCCACCCTCCAGGAGAGAACGGCGTGACTTTGATCGAGCGCCTTAAGAGAATGTTGGGGTTTTTATTTGCTGTCGGGATTAGTTTGTTTGTGACATAGGCAAACTTACTCTTGTAATAATTTAAATAATTTATTACATAACTAAAACACCCTTCTCATTATTACAACATTTATTATCGATAGGACGACAGACATGACACTGTTATTACTCTACTTCGGCGAAGCGAAAAGGAAGGAACAAGTCTAACACACACGTAGGTACTTATGAAAGTATGTATGTTAGTACCTACAGCAAACGCTAATAGTTGTAAGCGATCTGTCATATAATCTCTGGAAGTGTCAGAGGAAACGCGACGTTAGCTTAATTTATTATTAGGCAAAGCGCCACAGCGGCTGATTTTCGTTCGTTGCCATACAAAAGAAATCAACAGGGTCATTTTGCAATTAAAAACTATAACACTTCGAAAAATTTGTTAAAATGCATAATAAGACGTAATTACCGAAAATAACAAACACATTACTACTTAGAAATAAAGAAACAGACACTTTAAGTCATTTACTTATTGCTTTTCTGTTACGACGGAAACGAAGCCATTGAGATGAAATCAAACATTGATTGTGATCGAGTTTCCGACTTAGATTTAAGAGGGAGCAGAGGAAAAATTCCTAATATTCGATTTGATTTTAGAGGGGTATATCCACTTTAAAGTTAAAAATAAAATATTGTATGAGTAACTACACGATATATTCAAGCATAGACATTAATCAGAAACATAAAACAATAAAGTTTTGTTCGATAGATAAAAATCACGAAATGACCTCTAATTTTTACATTTTTTCGATTTATCCTCGAAATGCTACAGGTTATTAGAACAAAAATTAGATAATTAATTATATTTATGCATGATCGACAACTGTCACTACGGATTTTTTTAATCCCTTTAGTTTTAGAGTTATTCCGCTAAAACGAATTCGGTACTTTTAATGCGCAAAATTCAACATCTCTTGTCGCATGTCACGCGAACTTCAGGCATATATTTGTTTCACAAATTTGGGCGGAGCCAACGTCTAAACTTTTTTGCTATGCTCCCTCTTAACAGAATTTAGCTGCAATTGACGGTTAGAGTAAAAATTTGTTGAATTTATTTTTAGTCGATTTTATTTTCTTTAATTACTCCGCTTGATAATTATGTAAATGTCTAATGTCTTTTTAACCGATAACCGATGGGGAAGTGGGTTTCGACAAACATAGCGTAGGACGCCCTCTGGTGAATTGACGATTTGCGAAAGACTGCATGGATGCGACAAGCTGTGGACACCGGATGAAATGGCGCACATTGGGAGAGCCCTAAGTCCAGCAGTGGACTGCGATATATCTACTAAGCTAAAACAATTACAGAATTCATATAATTTATTCCCAAGATATTGGAGGAGAGGAGGTCCGTGCTCAGCAGTGGGACCTAGAATGGGTTGGTGACGATGACTGCTAAGATTTTGACAAACGTTTGATTGAGATGTAATCCAAGAGTAAAAATGTTAAGTTAGTTGGAAACTTCATAGGTCTAGCGCATAACCTTTAATTTTAAGATATTTGCGTTGACCTTTGCCTTTTAATTATTTTTGTGTTTTATTATAATACCATCCTATTTTTGTAAAACACGGGAAAATGATGACCCATGAAATCCTTTGAATGTTATCGAGCTCACATCGAGGTACTATTTAATGTCACTGTCATATTAATTTTTCGTTATGACAAATATAGGATTAATTCGAACGTGTAAATACTTCACTAGGCTTAAATACAATAGCTCCACGAATACGCGCATATAATAAAACTCTAAAGCTCAATTTATATTGCGACCGGAACGGAATGGAAGCGAATTTCTATAGCGATATTGTACATAGCATAATGAACTTTATGGTCAATCGTGTAACGTATAAACTAGATATGACCGAAAATCTTTCGCAGAATGCGCGAGATTTAATATACTATTCTATGAACAATATCGCTACAAAAATTTGCTTCCATTTCGTTCCGGTTGCAATATAAATTGAGCCTTATTTTATCCTCACCGCAAAAAATAAATAGTCATTGTAGACTTTCTAAAACACCGATTTCAAGATATTAAAATTTTGGCGATTAATCTATTGAAAAGTAAAAATAACTTTTTCATCTCATTAGCTCGGAAAGGCTTTCTTTCTCATAAGAAATCTGAGCGCAAAAACGTTTTTTGCACGGTAGCGTGGTAACGGTTTTAGAAATTCGAACTTGACGATGGACTGTGGTGCACCTAACTTTTGCTTTCGATGAAAAAAAAAGTTCAACACGTTTAACTACGCGATTTGTCGTACATTACTTATTTATTTGTAATATAAATCCGAAGGTATATTTTATTCTTATTATTATTGACATTATCAATTGTTCATTACTAATTGTGTTTATTAAATTATTTTAATTCATTGAAGAAATAAAATAATTTCAATAATCACTTAATCACACAAAATAAAAGTACAAGTAAGAATAAAAATTGATGAGGTGTAAAAATTCAAAACGCATTCGAAGATAAAGTTTTTCTTTTAATTAAAAAAACAGATGTTTCAATGTTCAACTGTTTTTCTTTCATCTACCATTTTCCTCGCTATAGGACAAAGTTGTTTTGTATCTCGTGTCTTGAAGCCCTCGCTACGCTCAGGAATCTATTCTTAATCTTAGCACCCTTTGCTTGCTCAGGTTTCAATACAAGCACTCGCGTCAAACAACAACTATGCAGTCTTGCATAACAAATAACTTTATTTTTATGGCTTTTAATTATAAGTACAAAATTTGGCTTTTCAAACAAACTATTCTATTGATGAGAATTGCACAAGAATTTGAAAACGATTTTACGCTCTTGGACCAATAATTCGAGCTATCTTACCAACCAACTTGACCAATCCGCAGCCAAAGTCACGTCGTCGGTATCATTTAGCGACGGTACAGTAGCAATAACTCAGCGCAGGAAATCACGTCATCGCTCTATTACAACACGCGCACATCGAAAGACACGCACACAAACGCAACCGGCGCCTGTCTTTTATTATTATACTTCACTCGATATTTGAATGTGTTTAATTTTATTTTATACTCAGTTGTGTATAAAATAAAATTCAGTTCAGTCATGTTCAGTTGAACATGATTGTTGACGTGCGTTTTAATTGTATAAATGCAGAAATAACTGTAACTGTTGTAAACTTTGAGATTACTTTGCAGTTTAAAACTGAATGTATTTTTATTAGATGAAACATAATTCGTAGCAATATGTGACAAATATATTATGATTAATAAATATTGTTCAGAAGTACTGTTGGGTAATTTTCTGAAAAATTTGATATATTGGAATAATATATTTTTGAAGGCTCATTTTAAGTTATACGTAAGAAAAACGAGATTTCAAATTATTTCACAACAGCGAAAAAATAATGGCTCCGTCGTTTTCGTTCAGTAACTTCAACTTTTGACAGCTGTCAACGTCAAATGTGAAAAATTAAAGGTAAATATTGGGAAAAACATTTATTTTTCTGAAAAATATGATCCAACACTATTCCCAAGTAACATAACTTTAACTATTAGTCGTTCTTGAGTCATTCCAGTGTTGTAATGAGGAAGAGCAGGACTCCTAGCACAAGTATTAATTAAAAGGAGTTTCGAATACAGACTTGTAAACTAGACCTAAGTTAAAGTAAATAAACATTTCATTAAGTCGTATTCAATAATATAATCAATCGAATGTTTTTGTTGATAAAAGCGCATTGGCGTATTTAAAGACTGCACCGCAATTAGCTGAACGAAGTATACCATCTAATTGTCTTCTACGTTGCCATCACATCGTATTGTTATTAGAACATATTCCATTGGACATATTAACTGTTCATATATAGATATTATAGGTATTTTGTACGAATGTATAGGTGCAGAAGTCTTAGTAATTAAGCACACCGTTATTTAGTAAATGACGTATAGCGTTGATTAGTGAGCATAATTAAATATTAGTCATCCAATTGGAAAATATATACAGACTGCTTTATTTTTATCATGAAAAAACATAATACTTTCCGCCGCATCCAGTAGCGGAAAGTGTTATGTTGGAGATCTGAGGAAGGGCTTCTGTGTAAGACGATGGACGGCGATGAATATGTACGCATCTAAATTAAACGCTTGTAGAAGCACTGCAGTGACGCGTCTGTGACGAGGCAGACGCGCCACTATCACCGACATAATATCTAAATAGACGCCGCAAGTGTATCTACTTCGCGTGTCCGATGTAAGCTTTAAGCGCTTATGTTGCCTACTGGTAGATATATCCACATTTTAAATAATATAACAATAATATTATAATAATTTATTTATTTTCTCCACAAACACCACAGTTAGTTAAGTATCTAGATAATGTACCCAGTCAAATTTGTTACAGTATGTTTGCAAGAGACTGGTTCCTAAACTAAGCCGAAGCCTGTAATACAGGTAACCAGGACCCTCACCTCGGACAATAATTCGTACATAAAACATTGTGGAAATATTGACCAAGAAATATAAATTAATGATATTTATTAATGGTAGTTCAAAAACAAATTTATATATATTAACTGAAAGTAAATACTAATAATAAATTGAAAGTAAGAACTAATTAATAATAAAAGAAAAACAAAAAATAAAAATCAAAGTGTGTAGTGTTATACGTAGATATGTGTGTGTGTGTGTGTGTGTGTATAGATATTTTTTAAATATAATGTACGAAAGTGATTTAGGAAGATTATTGTTACACGATGCGGTGCAGTGCGGCCCGCCATAATGTGCGTGAGCCTTTAAAATATTTAGGTACTTTGAGTTATTTCTTGTTATTATCAGGGAATTTTTTGCCACGATTGGCCGC